TGGTGGAGAGTTTCTCTGACACCGCTACCCAGACGGAGTAAACAGGTTGACAGGTCCAGGTAGCGTGGAAGTAATCATCGGTGCAATCCAGAGTGCATTGTGAACAAGTATTTGTATCAGTGAAACCCATTTTAAACATTTTACCTTGTGTGATGTGAGTCCTGTGAATATTCTTATATTGTATAAGCTGTAAGTTTATATTGGTAGTCATGGAGAAGATATTATTACAGATCTCGGTCCAGAAATCGAGATTGGGGGGAGCACCAAATCCTTTTCCCATTTTAGTCATTGGTATTTTTATTGTATCTGTATTTGACATTATGGAGGCATCTAAGGTATCTGTTTGTTCTCTGGATAGTGTTGGTAATTTTATATTGTTTTATATCTATTTGAGATGGATTTGGCTCATGATCAGAGTATAGTTTGCTATAAAAGGCTTGAAATACATTGTTAATATCCTGTGGATTATGAACAGTTTCACCTGTAGAGTCAAGTATGGATGTAATGGTTGCTTTTTCCTTTGTTGGATTAGGAAATCTGTTTTTTTTGTTGTTGTTGTTTGTTTGTTTTGTATGCAATACTTTCAAGTTGGGTTTTGAGGTGGTTCAGTTCATTCTGTATTTGTTCAGTAGGGTTATTTGAGTATGATTCTGTCAGCTGTTTTATTTTTAGTTCCATTTTTTTTTTTTCAAAATCTTGCTGTTTTTTTCTTATATGGTGAATTATTACTTTTCCTCTTTCCCATAGTAGAGAGGGTGAGGTTCATGCCGGGTGAGTCATTCATCTCCAGAAAGAATGTCTGTTCTTTTTTTTTTTTTAACTAAGTTTTTTTTCTGTCAAAGTCTGCATCTTGAAACAATGATGTGTTAAAGTACCATCTTTTACAGGGTTTAATAGGGATTTGAGTATTTGATTTGAGCGAAATAGGAGCGTGGTCACCGTTTATGATTGGATGAATTATGTTTTCCGTTACATGTTGGGTTAGTGAATTGCTTATGAGGAAAAGGTCAATTCGTGATAAAGACTTATGGAGGGAGGAAAAATGTGTATATTCTTTAGATAAAGGATTATTCATTCTGCAGCTATCGATCGTAATAATTCACACATTGTTTTATGACTTCTGTAGAATTCCAGTTGTATCTGATTTATAGCATTGTTGAGTAGATGAGCCTGTGTTACGAGCATCAAAATAGTCCAGTGTGCTGGATATAAGAGCATATATTAATCTCTCCATGACACTCTGAGAAAGAAATGGCCACACATAGCCATAAAAAGCATATTTGTTGACAGACCTGACATGAGCCTTAAAGCGTCTGAATCAAAATAAACATATGTTTATGGCTTGTTGGCTTAGGATCAGTCCTGGAGACCTGAACATATTCAGCAGCTGTGGCTCGGGAGCTTACAGTTGGTGGTTCAATTTCCAGCTTTTGCAGTTTACATGTGGAAGTATCCTTGAGCAAGATGCTGAACTCCAGGTTGCACCTGGTAGCACTCGCTATTAGTGTGTATAAGTATGGCTGCTTTGCTGCCATCTGCATGTGTATGCAAGTGTGAATGGGGTGAGTGGGCAAATATTGTACAGTGCTTGACTGTGTAGAAAAGTGCTATAATACATTTAGTACAAATCCATTGACCATCTATTTACGATTTAAAGTAGTGTTCCTAAAATCAATTCTTGGGAACCCCACAAGTTATTTCCATTCTAGTCCCTCAGTCTATTTACAATAATTTGGTGGTCAGCCCATGTGATACTACCAGATCTAAGGTATGGCTTTAAGAGTTGCCTCATTAACATTTTGTTTAAAGTCCATACAGTCCAGTAAATCTAAAACGTTCCTTGCTTTGGCATCTGTCTTATTGTCAAACATGTACGTTAAGCTCATCAACTAAACCAGCCATTATATTTAACATGAATATAAGTGAAAAATCTGAAGATTTATTAAAAAGCAAGTGGAGAAACTGCGTTCCATGTCAATAGATTGCAACTGCTGAAAGTGGTGTCTGATAATGTCCTAACATTAAAAATGGCTATCCTTTATTTGCCTGTCATATTTGATTTATATAGATTTTTTTTATTTGTATTTTTAGTAGGTTGTCTATACATATTCAAGAGTTTACTTGATACCAGGCCTCAACTGAATGCAAGTGTTTTTGTGTTGGCAATAATAGAAGACATACAGTACTTTACTCCTATATATTAATATCATGTTCATATATAACAATGTATCAATATATTGGTGAAACTGCATAATCAGGCACCAATAACAATAAAGTACAGACTGACCAATTTACATCTGTCCTGTCTTTTTATCAACTCATGAAGATCATGGTTTAATTTTTGCTGTGTGTTCTGATTGTTTTGTCTGGATTTCTTGCATAATTTTTGCTGAAGTATGACTGCCATGCATGTACTGCATATCAATATGTACTGTACATGCATGGCATGAACACAGGAGAGTACAAATGTTAATCAACCTTATTGTTTCTGTAGATGGCTCCAGATTTTCAAGAAACCAGACCCCGCAACTATGTGCTTTCTGCAAGTGCTTCTGCGGTAAGGAGACAGTTTTGCTTTACTGGTCCCTTAAAAATAAGCAATTGTAAACGGGGTGCTTTTTAAAATGAGGTCATGTAGCTATGAAAGGTTAATACCCTATCAACCTTTTTTCTTTTCCACCTTGTTGGGAAAACGTTTAATTATTCATTGCACTATGGTTCCTTTATAAGGCCTGTATGCAGTTTTCTGGTGCACTGTACTGAATGGTATACCAGGTACTATTTGTACCATAAGTAGCTATGAATTTGTACTTAATGTTTTGCCAGGAGGTGTTTCCAGTAAAAATGACAATTACAAGGTCAAAGTTGCATACCTGATCTCTGAGTCATGCCTGTTATCATGAAGAATGATGGCATATATTTGATAACAAGCATCTAACAGCCCAGAGCAATGTTGCTCATTAACTTAATCTTAGTCTCTGAGCATGGTTCCTTTCTACTTTTCCTTTCTTGAGGCCTGATTATGTTTTTGGTTAAGCATACCTTCTTATAATCATTTCTTTTGTGTTCACAGCGAAATAATTTGAACATGTTTGTATTAACACATTGAAGAGCAATTTACCACGGAGCTGAAGAGCAGTGCATAACTACGCTCTTGAAAGTTTCAAATCTGAAAGACAAACCAAATCTACACAAATAAGATGATGTCAGTGTTAGGTTACTCTTTGATTTGATTTGTTTTATTCTTTCAAGCATGTAAAACAGTTGATATGACAACACACATACACATAATCCAATATCAATTTGCTTATACCTAGTACATGCTTGAATGGAGTAGGAAGAAGTCAGACTTATCCAGTCCTACCCCATGACATCATCTTACCATCATTGGTTTACAAGCAGTATCTCTACATAAATAATTCTCTTCTACACCACACAAGTAATATACTAAAGAATTATAACAAGAATGTTAACATTCTTACATAATTACATTCTTAAATAATTATCTTCTACACCACACAAGTAATATA